TGTAGTATCAGGGCCCTGCCCTTATTACTTTACTCATTTAACCTTATTTCCTTAGTGGCCCTATCCCTAAATACAGCAACACTAGGGTTTTAAGGTTTCAACATAGGAATTTATGGGTGATAAATTTAGTCCAAACATGTAAGTTGGAACTTATTTACCAGTTCTTAAAAGGCAATTTTAAACTGAGAGGTGATTTATTTTTATAAGCGTATCATTTACTACAGTACAGAACATGAATTAGATGAAAGGTTAAATAGAAACAAACCAGTTGAAAGGCAATAGTCAACAGCAAAAATTATGATGTCCTGAATTAAGATATCATAAAGACAAAAATCATTTTCCCAAACTTTGATATTTTCTGAGACAACGTCTCACATTGCCATCAAGGCTGGAGTGTAGTGGTATAATCACGGCTCACTGCAGCCTCGACCTCCCAGGCTCAAACAATCCTCCTGACAGCTTCCCAAAGTGCTGGGATTAAATATGTGAGGCCACCACACCCAGCCAATTCATTTTATAATTCATCACTGACTGTACTTACAAGGAAATAAACCATAAAGCAACAAGTCTAGTTTGTAATTGTTTATATTTAGTGTTTTAGAAACAGAATCCCATTATGTTGCTCAGCAACTCCTAGGCTCAAGCTCAAGCGATCCCCTCACCTCAGCCTCAGGAGCAGATGGGACTAAAGATGCCACCATGCCCAGCAGCAAATTCAATTTTTGAAGTGGCATCCTTGCCGAAAGGAATAAATGAAGAGCTACTCCTATTACAGTGGATAGGAATAGAAATGGAATTTCTACGAAAGTTTGGAGTAATATATGGCATCTCTGAAACTTTAAGGGAATATTTTTGTCCCATGTCATAAGACTAGTATTTAACAGAACTGCACTTTGAAAGATTTAGAGGAAGTCTGATAGAGTATGTCCTCTTACATAATGGTCTTGATATATAAATTTTACTCAAGCCCAAGGATCAACAGTTTTCAGCAAATAAAATCTTTATATGGCACATTAATGACAACAAAATTCCCGTTGTCAGTAGGAACTCTGTCACACATACTGAAGTGTAGCATTTCATGGCAGTCATTTTCTGCCATGTACGTGGCTTGAAGCTACATGGGCTATAAAAATCTATGGGAACTGCTGTTACAGAGGACATATAAAATGCTTATGGTAATTTATAGTTTTGAGCACTATCTAAATGCCAGGCATTTCTCTAGTTATTTTGCATCTGCTTAATTCTTCCCCATTTAACAGATTGGGAAAAGGTCATGAGGTGGTAACTTAACAAGTCATACAGGAAGTAAGTGATAGAGCCACGTTATCAGTACAGATAGTCATCTTCACAGGCAACATGTAACTTCTGTATTAGACTGATTTTTAGTATTCATTACATTCTCTTGAAAGGGAAGAAACATGAAGCTAGAAATGGGTGTAGAAATGAGGGAATCAGACTAAGGTTGGTTGAATGTAAAGCCTCTGAACCACCTTGGCTTCTCTCCCTGGAAAGCAAGGGTATGAAAACAGCTCTTTTCTGCTGATACTGTTAAGGAATTCCTTAGAAATATATGTCCCCGCTATATAAAAATGAAGTCTTTAGATATATTGATAAATTCAGACACATTTTGGTTTAGTGTAAATCATTTAATCTTATTGTAATTTCTAGATATGCATCTTAAAGATTAATCCTCAGTTTATATTTTTATTCAATATTTTTAATATCCTACCATTGAAACACTTAAGTACTTGATATACAACTACCTTTTCAGGTATGCTCAGATTCTATTTTTTACCAAATACCTTGTCATTACCACGGCCCATTTAGGTTTATTCTTTTAACAACTTTGTCTTTATAGTAAGTTTGAGTTATCATATAGTTCAGTCTTCAATGGGAAATGTCTTAGACATCTTTTCACAATTCTGGTAAATCTAAGTCATCTACATGCTTACCATGAGTTTAGAGAGTAATCCACGTTGGAGATTACTCATTAGTAGATTGAAAAGGCTCTATTTAAAATAACATTTTTCATGAGTCAGAAATTTTATTTTATATTGGATACAATACTCACTGAATATTTACCTAGATGTTTTTCCTTAATTATGCAAATTTTGATAAATGCATTGATTTATGTTAGAATCAGAAGTAAGCACATTTTAATTTCTGATCCCTAGGGAAGTCAGTTTAATTCTGAAGAAATAGCATTTGTAAGCGTCTGGGGAAAAAGATCAGGTTAGTGTAGACGGAATTTGCCAGTTTAAATTCAGCAATTCCATAGAGATATACAGAAGGCAAATATATGGTTTGTATTGAAATCACGTTAGATTTAGATAGTGTTGGTTTCTCTATAGCTTCTCCAGGCTGGAGCATAACCTCTATGTATTTATATTATCAAACCCTTCAGTGCTGTTCTTGTCAGGGGCTGATTTGTTACTTTGAAATTCATCTAGAATTTCCTGCAACCAATCTTCTATCCCCAGTCCAGATGCTTTTGTGTTTCAATGTGACATTTTCCTATCGAAATAGATCAGTTGTTTATAGAGGAAAAATTACTTGTGTCTGATATTTCTAGCTGAGTTAGTATTTTATTACCACATACCCTCTCTATCTTTAAAATGCAGCCATCACTTTAATTTCTGAGGAAGGGAAAGTCATAGTGCCTCTAACATATATACCCGATTTTTACTAGGAAATATAACTTTACAAGTCCCAGCAGCGCAACTTCTGAACTGAAATTATCCATAAGATTTCCTTAAATTTAAAAATGCACCATGTTTATACTTGTTAGCATTCTGAGTATATATGTGAACTACACGTGTGCTCATGCATGCATGGGCACACACAAGTTCATGCACAGATCACTTATCAGCTAGTTTTTTAAAACCAAATTCTAGGTATTTCAACAAATTGCCCAGAAAAGAGCAAGTATAAATCATTTTTGTTGTTATCCTAGGACTTACCAGAAACCGCAAGACTTCCTTGCCCTATACTTCTGCTTTGCCCTCTTCCTTTCACTTGTCTTTGTTAATTACTGGGTAAAGTTACCAAGTCTACAGGGCTTGTAGCTAATCAGGGAATTTTGTTGGTTTAGGTAAAAGCTTTCAGAATGTTAATGCATCACCTGAGGTGAGAGTGGAAGCACACTATTGGCAGAAAATATTTCCAGAGAGAAAAGTCTGGAAAGAACACTCAAATGAAACTTGGATTTTACCTCTCCAGGCAGCTCAGATCCTCATTTCTCCCTATTATTTTTATATACTTTTATTTGGTAAAATGAAAGTCACAAAGCCCTGAATTTAAAATTTTATTTACATCTGGATGCTCAAACAAACACTTCCCTCTTTAATTTTACCCTCCCATCCTCCCAAAACCAATTATATATCTTTTGTTTTAGTCTCCCTTTTGATGCTTTCATTTGGCAAAGTATTACATTCCAGACAGAAGTTTCAAATGCCCTTTTCACTGGAAGACCTTTACCTTGGCAGATGTCTCCCTAACCTAAATATTTGCTCATGATCTCTCCAAATGTTCAAACAATGCTGGGCAAAGTAAAACACTTCTCAGCAATATTAGTATTTCCTCTGGCCATTTTAAGTTTATTGTAGCTCAGATATGCTCAGATTCAGGTATGCTCAGATTCTATTCTCTGAGCCCATTTGATTAGGCACCAAAGGCATGGTAGATTATAAATCCAGTTTGTGGCAAGCCTTATTTCACGTTTAATGTGGAATGTTTAATGTGATCCCAGAAATACTGCCACTCATTCATAGCCATTTTAAAAACTGCAGATTTTAAACTTTTCAGATTTTATGCAAGTTATGCCAGGGCAGAAGAGCACTGCAGGGCCTGGTATGTGGAGCTTACAGGATTCTGACACTTTTCAGTTTTGCAACTCTTCTAAAAGCAGAGTTTTGTAGTTTACACCATGCTGCACCTGTTGCTAATTCCCCCCAGCTGGTTTTCTTCCCATTGGGTTTACTATTCAGATTTGCAGGTAAAACACCATGATACTGAGGATCTTGCAGATAGCTGAACACACACGGAGCGACACCCACCCACTGATCTCTTTGGTTTGAGTTTTTGAAAAAGTTTTGACTTGGAAAGTTTCCTAAGAGTCTATTCCACAGCTTTTGCCTATTTCGCAATTTAAGTAGATAGCCAAACTTCCACTTTAACTGGCAAAAGTCTTGCAAAACCAAACTTTCTGGTTTTGCACTCTCCTAAAATCACTGAGTTTTGTAGTTTACACCATGCTGCACCTGTTGCTAATTCCCCCCCAGCTGGTAGTCTTCCCATTGGGATTACTATTCAGATTTGCAGGTAAAACAACATGATACTGAGGATCTTGCAGACAGCTGAACACACACCGAGCAGCACCCACCCACTGATCTCTTTGGTTTGAGCTTTTGAAGAAGTTTTGACTTGGAAAGTTTCGTACTGAGAAGAGTATTCCACAGCTTTTGCCCGTTTTGCAATTTAAGTAGACAGCCAAACTTCCACTTTAAGGACACACAGGCAACCTGTTGCTTGTGGATTTCAGGGGAAGTTGGCATTTTAATTTTAGGAATATACTTCAGAAAAAAAAGAGATTTGGCTCTTGGGTGCCTGCACAGATACAAGCTGTATGTCTCTCAAGGTGCTTGCCCCCCAGAGAGCCACAGTCTAGATAAAGTAGCAAGCATGGCATTTTGAGATTAAGTATTTCTAGAATTGTTCCCTAAAGAGAGAGAAAGGAGGCTAAGAAAGCAGAGGAGTTTTGACGTTAGATGTGAAATAAGTCCTGGAAGCTTATCCGTAGTCTATAAAGGCTGCCTTGATGCGGTAGCGAGAACACTTGCTTAGAAGCTTTGTTCCTGAGTTTATTCACTAGTAAACAAAGAATACCACACATTTTGCGTGGCTGAAGAGAAACCCAAATTTAAAAAAGAAGTATTAATGCCTATAAGCCCCCCGAGGAAACAGACAAATACTATCATGAACACATTTATGTGGTTCCTTACCCTAGCCATAGCTGACTGGGCCTCCGGTGAGCACCACACCTAAAATCTTCCAGCCATATGCTCACGGCTCTTGCCGCCACACAAAAGACCGAGTAGGCTGTGTGCCCCTCAGAAGCCTCCTATTGGTCACACCCTGTGAAGGACCGGCCTGTGACCAATCAGGGTGAAGTGGAGATCAGCCGGTAACCAATCAGAGGCTGAAGTGGAAACCCAGCCTGCAGTAAATCAGAGGCTGAAAAGGCTTGTTATCTTGGGAGCGAGGACCAGGCTCCATGTGCGGCTCTCTTGCCTATACAACCTGGCTGCACCTGCTGTTCTTCAGCTTATGCAAACTGGCTGCACCTGCTGTTCTTTTGCTTATTCGAACTGGCTGCACCTGCTGTTCTCCTTCTCATGCCTCAACCCCTGGTCACCCCAATTCCCTATTCTCCTATCTAGATTCCCCTTAAGAGAATTAATTTAAATTTAAGCTTGGTAACACTAGACAGCTTTCGAGTGTGCAATAGTTACATGTGACTGTGAGTACCATATTGGGCAACACAGATAATAGAACATTTCAATCTTTACAGAAGCTTCTGTCAGACATCAGTGGTTAATCTTTGTTCATTTTGCTATAAGGTTTTTCATATTCCAAGTCAAAGAAAATTCTTTGAATCAGATAGTATCCATATATTGTAAGTAATAGATAACATAATTCAAACAAGCTTATCAATTAAGGAGATATACTTTTGAAACTGAAAGGCTTCAGAGTTCTTTTGACTCAACTGCATAATAGAATTGTTAAGAATATATTCTTTGCTTGTTTGTTTGTTTTCCAATTCTTATTTGTGAAAACTTTGGTCTAATGGCTGTCTTTTCAACTTTGTCATAAGATGGTTGCCTGTGGCTCACGGAATTCATAATCCCACAAATCTAATCAAAGCACCTATTTTCAGAAGATAAAAGAAGTGTTGTTTCTCTGAATGTAAACACAAACTTTTCATAAAATTCATCAGCCCAAATTTCATCACTTTCTCAATCTCCAAACAAATCTATGGTCAAAGAGTAAGGTCATGTGGCTTAGTTTAGGCAGCAAAACCGAAAATACATGGATTCATGAATAAAAATCATTACAGTTAACGGAGAAAATGTTGGGGGAGGCACACGTGATGTCTATTAGTGCTCTATGTTAGTCGTTCTCAACAGAGGGTGATGTCGTACTGCAGGAAACATTTGGCAATGTCTGGAGACAGTTTTAATTGTAGTGACTGGGGCATCTATAAGCATGTACAGGATGTACAGAGTAAAGGCTAGGGATTCTGCTAAACATTCTACAATGCACAGGAGAGCACCTACCCCCACAACAAAGCTTCACCTGAGCCAATGTAAATAGTGCTGGCATTAAGAAATCCTCTTCTATGTGATTGTCTCTTATGAAATCTGGCTTAAATTTAAAAGTGACTTTAAGGACTCACATAAAAGAAAAATACAGTTAAATCTGGTTTCAGATGTGATCTAGAGATTTGCAAAATTCGAGAGTTGCAACGTTTTATATACTTCTCCTGCACTTCTTTGCAGTTGTGTTGGTTATTATGTGATGTAGATTCTCAAGTTATCTCTTTCCTGATAGCATCAACAATAACTATACTTCCATATGGTTACCTTTCTCAGAATCTCCCAGCAAATAGCTGCTTCATTCAAGTTAGCTAGCATTGTATCATGTATCAGTTTCTAAACTAATCTATGATTAAATATTTGGTTACTCTTACCTGTTACACAACTGAGAATAGTTGGTGGGTAATTTTGCAAAGGAAAACCTGAACGCTCTGGATGAAGGTGGGGGAGTCTGATTCTAAACAGATAACTAACAAATTCCAAATGCAGGATTGGTGGATTACATTAGTAATTACGTTAGCCAGCATCTAGTAGACTGTAACTGGTGTGTGATTCCAACAGTACTTAAAGTATAATTGCTGCAATGGGATGGGGAATCAAATAAGTTCATTAAAAACTTGAAGCATAGACTTGGTCAGAAAACAGCTTTCTTTCCCACTGGTACCTTGTAATCTTATTGTTTTGAATTATCTACTGGCACTTGTGTGTATAATATTCTATTTCATCAGGAAGAGATAACATGTATAGAACATTTTTCTCCTGTTAAATTTTCAAGTTCATTTGTATCTAAATCTGTCATTAGTTTTACAACATTTGACAGGTTACTCTGAGTAATGTAGTTTGCTCATTTGGAAAATAGAGATAACAGTAGTAACTACTTTCTATTGTTGTTTCTAGGATCAGATGATTTTAAAAAATGAGTGTAACATTTAAGTAGTAACTACATATCTGTTCAAATAACATTTAGCAACAATTGGCTAATGGTATTACTACACAATGGTATTGAGATGTCTAATCCATAAATATTATTTGCATTTCACTGTTTTCAGTCTAAGAATTACTGAGCAATACTTCAATTATCCTTCTTTCTAAATCATATCTGTTGATCTCTGTATTTTACACCGTATCTGTATATTCTACAATCTCAAAATCCTCTTTTATATTTCTATTGTTTAACAAAGAATTTTTCCTGCAAATTTTATGCATTTGAAAGATTGATTGATATAATTACTTAGCCTATTTTCTATTATTTCCAAAAGTCATAGTCTTTTATTGAAAAAAGAGATTAAAAACATCAACCTTACTCCCACTAATCCTTAAGAGAGGAATGCATACCAGATATGTGTTGTTATTTTTATTTTTTATTTTTTCATACATGAATAAACATAAAAGATAACTGGGTGTGGGTTAAAAAGTTGGATACAATTTTCAATTTAAGCTCTTTAGTATAAACAAACACAAGTTTGCATCTACATTAACATGATATAAGGTTAGGAGTGGTTTCCATACCCCTTAAAAGAAAAAGAAAGGAACTAACATGTCTTGGGTCCCTAACTATATTATCTCAAGCAGATACTACGTAATTTAGTTAATAAAAGAAATGTTATCTTCATTTGGACATACACAATTAATAGAATGGAATCTCAGAAAAGTTAAATAACTTGCTGAAAGTCATGCATACAGCAAGTGGCAAAACAAGGATGTGAATGTGGATCTGTTTGATTTCAAGTTCTGTGTTGTTTCTACTACTCCCTGGCTGCCTTAGAGACTTATCTACATGCACCACTGCAATTTTATTCTATCAGGACCTCAAAAGAATTTCTTGTGCTTTTGTGCCTATGCTTATTTTATTTTTTATTACATGGTATATAGGATGCTGCTTCTTCAGATAGTATCTATATCTCTTCTCTGGGAAGAGCTGTTTATCTATTGGCAAGGCAATAGGCTATGTTAAATTTCTTCTGCTTGTGTTTGTTTTCTGTGTATATTCTCTTATTTTCCAACTCTCTTGATACCAAATGTAATCCCTATGCCTTTAGAAATTTTTTTATTATGGTTCATTAAAAATATTTTCCCTTGTGTCTAGAGATCCTTTATCCTCTAATTCATTAATTTAGCAAATACATATGATGTGTCAGATGCTATGCTGGTAACTAAAGCATTCCTCAAGCATTTCCATTTCCTTAAGCAGAGGCTGCCAGCTTGCAGTTAGACATTTTGCTCTTATTTGATTGATAATTGTTTAATGATTTCAAACTTCTCATTCCTTGATTTCAATTGTAAATTATAGCACATTTTTATGTTCCTAATAATTTATAATAATGCGTGGTCTCAACAAAACTGAGCCTGCTATACAACTATAAAAACGTTTATTACCATAAATTCTCCACTTTTGAACAACTTTATAATATTATGATATATAATTATAGTATTTTATAAGACTTCCAAAAACATAAGTAGGGTACCTTTGTGTGCTTTCAAAACACTTTCATTTCTTCAAGAAAACATATTGCTAACTTTATCTGAATATGACTTTTACAAAAAAAAAAAAAAAACTGGCCGGGCGCGGTGGCTCACACCTGTAATCCCAGCACTTTGGGAGGCCGAGGCGGGTGGATCACTAGGTCAAGAGATCAAGACCATCCTGGTCAACATGGTGAAACCCCGTCTCTACTAGAAATACAAAAAATCAGCTGGGCATGGTGGCGCGTGCCTGTAATCCCAGCTACTCAGGAGGCTGAGGCAGGAGAATTGCCTGAACCCAGGAGGCGGAGGTTGCGGTGAGCGGATATCGCGCCATTGCACTCCAGCCTGGGTAAGAAGAGTGAAACTCCGTCTCAAAAAAAAAAAAAAAAAAAAAAAACTATAGAATGTCAGTAATAGCTACAGTGGTGAAAGCAGAAAAAAAGTGGGAAATTATTAGATAGTTAAAATTTACCTTTATGTATAATAGCAACAAAGAACAGACATGTAGATTTCTAGCTGGTTAGCAGAATAAACATTTTGCTGTCTCAAAAAATATTCACACATTGTTTATTTCATCTTAGTTTACTGCTGCTGCACAATCCACCCACTCTAAAACATAGAGCCTTGGAACATCAACCGTTTCATTACACATAGAGCTTTTGTGGTTTAGTAATTTGGTCAGAGGTCAAATGGCAGATTTTATTATTCCATATGGCACCAACCAGGGTCCCTTAATGCTATTCCTCTGGTGTGTGGACCGTTTGGAGAGTCGAGTGTGGCTTCACTCACGTATCTCATACCCTGGCAGGAATAGTTTTTTTTTTTGTTTGAGACGGAGTTTCGCTCTTGTTACCCAGGCTGGAGTGCAATGGCGCGATCTTGGCTCACCGCAACCTCCGCCTCCTGGGTTCAGGCAATTCTTCTGCCTCAGCCTCCCGAGTAGCCGGGACTACAGGCACGCGCCACCATGCCCAGCTAATTTTTTGTATTTTTAGTAGAGACAGGGTTTTACCATGTTGACCAGGATGGTCTCGATCTCTTGACCTCGTGATCCACCCGCCTCGGCCTCCCAAAGTGCTGGGATTACAGGCTTGAGCCACCGCGCCCGGCAGGAATAGTTTTAAGGCTGGGCTTAGCTGGACCTCTGCAGTCAACTGTAGATCTTACAAATGGCCATCCTAATACTAATTTCAGATTAAGTCTCACTTCTATCCGGGAAGTGTAGCGTTCCTAGAG